AAACAGGAGAAAAAAGAAACAAAAGCAAAAAAAACACAAAAAAAAAACTATGATATCACTCTTTTCCTTAAGGACGGCAGTGCAGCTTGCTGCTGCAGGCGACTCTAGCGGATCCCCATAATGCTCAGTGTTCTCGGGCACTGTCTCCAAAATTCTTTCATCCTTTGATTTGTACGTATACTGTGACTCATATCAATAACAGAGATCAATATTTGAGATAATGCTTATACCTTGTCCTCCTCTGGATTGTCCGAATTGAAGGCATCGGACTTGTCACGAAGCAACGCCTTTAGCTTTATTTTCAGCTCTTCTTTGTTGTCATCTTCCTGAAAGGAGAATACAAGAAATGCAGTAATCAGGATCTCATATGTTTTGCATGATAAACAGTTCGAAAAGTAACAAAAAATGTCAGACAACATAAACGCATCTCGTTCCATAATGGCAAGCTCTAACATCAACAAAACTTGACCAATAGCAGTAAATCCTACGGAGCCCATGGAGCAAAAATTAAATTGAATTATCTTCCCAAGCAGGAAATACATACGTCAATTTCTAGATTGCTCTCAGCTTCAACAATAGCTGCACCTATAGTGGCTCCAGAATCCACACGTGCAACTTTTGGTGCCCTGATGTAGGGTTTCTCATCTTCCGAAGTTTCAGATGGTTTAGATTTGATGTCAAGATCAGACAAACTTGAGGTAGCTTGACCAAGTTGATCGTGTCTAGAAGAAGTTGAAGATTTATTCTGTTGAAAGGGTGAAGGCGAAGGAGCAGAAGCAAGGCGAGAACCACCGAAGCGAGCAACAGGAACAAGAGAATCAGGTCTACTCATGGGTTCAGCATCGTCTCCTCTTTTGATTTGCGACTTTTGAGACTTCTCGCGCTTGATTCTTTCAGATTGTCTCTGTACAGAATAACGGATCACAAAGAGAACAATGTGAGTTTAAACCATGAATAATGTACATAGAGAAAATACTTACAGTCTACAACAAAGTAAAACATAAAGGCTGCAAAGTCCAAGTTTTTAAACAGCAGAAACTCTCAAATCAAGCATGAAGAATTCAACGAAATTACAATCACTAGGATCCTAGATAAACAATTGATAGGTCCAATGCAACAGTAAGATGATTTAAGAAAAAGATTGGAAAGGCTCGCATCTACTTCCAATAGAAAGTAATCTTATAGATGCTGGAAACCTCTAAAACAGAAAGAGAAGTCTCAGAGAAAAATTAAATTTGAAATTGTGAACCGTCCAAACCTCCTACAGTGATTTCCCATTTGGACCAAAAGAAACGGAATTAATTTGGTCTCGAGAGGCATATCCCATCATTTCACAAGTATATACACAAATGGTTAGTCCCACTACCGCGGTTACTTAAATGCTTTAATCCCAATAGCAGCACTACATCGGAACATTTTATTGAAAGACTATAACAGATATCCACTAGTCGCTACCCATAAAATGTCGACAAAAATGAAGAACATATAATGCATAAACGTCAAGCTCATAAATGTGCGAGAATATAATTCCACATACATGAAGCATATGATCTGGAAAGTAGTACAAGAATATAGACAGTATGTTACTGATAAAAAATGAACAAAGAGCTGGAAGATAAGGCTAGAACCAACTTGATGTAATCGGGCCCTTTTCTGAAATATCGTATCTTCAAATGATCCCACAGCTTGAATAAAGTGTTCCACTCTGGCTAGGTTTGGCTGGAAGAAAAGAAAAATAAAATTAAAAAAAAAAAAAAGGAAAGAACAGAAAACAAGATTGAGCGAGCCTCCAACTATGAACAATGAGGAAGAAAATAGCACAAGAAAAATAATTCTCTAAATAATATAATGCATACCTTGCTTCCATCAGTCAAGTACCCCCCCATAACCCTCAACTCCTTTTTATAAACAGCCATCAGCAAGTTGATCGCTCCCTATGTATGAAAGTGAGTAAGTACATTAAAAATCAACAGCACCATTAGTACTTCTGAGAGGTTTCTAAACGAAGGCAAGTGGAACAACAAAAATGCAGCAGAGAACTTGAACTATTCTATCAAAAGAAATCTATTCAGAGCGTCAACTCCAACTTTTACTAATGTTGGAAAGTTAATTACGAACTCCAGAAATCACATAGTAGAACAGATGCAATAATAAAACCATTTACGCACGTAGTACGATCACCAAGGAATTTGATAATTTTGTCATTAAAATAGCAAATACAGGCCACACATCATGAACAAAATGTCAGCATTAATGCCCCTAACATAACTCAAACAAACTTGATCCTCAATTTCCTTTAACCCAAATATCAACCTCTATCATACAATAAATTTCAGGAGCAACTTTTACTGAATTTTATTCCAACATTCGGGTTTATTCATTCCCAGATTGATATTGTAAACCCACTGGTTGCTAGGATCATCGAACAACTAACGCTTTTGATAGATTTTTTCTCCTCCCCCGTAAACTGGTTCTGGAATTATCGATTAGAGCAGCATAACCAAAATAGATATATTCTTCACAACGAACATTATAATTAATCTCCTTAAAGCTTATATTCTCCTGAAAAAGCGTTTTTATTGGGAAAAAAGAACTCTTCATTCCTTTGATTCTTGTGTGCATGAACCGTTGAATTGATTTAAGTAAAATTTTACGACACAAAAAGAATATAATGATAATTATACGAAGAAATAACCAAGAGAATCTCTGAAAACACACCTCGCGAATCTCGAGTGTAGGCATGTGCGGCAAAAAGTCATTACCGACGAAGAAGCACATGAAGATAAAATCATCAACAATGCATTCAAAATCAATCTTGAAAGGAAGATTAGGAATCTGCATCTCGTATTCTAGATACTCACGAAGAGTCCAAATATTCAGAAACTGCAAAACAAAGAACAAGTATAGGTTAAAAAGTATTTCCACACAAATCTATATATAATGTTCCATCATTTATATCTGCTAACCTGATAAGGTTTTTTAGGCACGATTTCAGCATCACCTTTTTCATCAAACTCTCCTGCCTTCCTCTTTGCCTTCCCTTCACAATTAGCAGCTAAGTGGCCCACTTGACCACAAAGAAAGCATTTGTCTTGCTGCCCTGGAGCGAATACAACCTTGCAAGCATAATAGAGGAAACACCCGTTACTTCAAAATTGGGGAGATCTAAAGCAGCATATCTGAATCTGTATGTTCAATTCATATGACCCATCCTTTGCGGCATATAATATTAAGCAACCCTTACTCTCAAGCCACATTTTCATCATCAAAACTGGATCTAATTCACTTGAGAAGGAGACCAAAATAGTAAGCCAATGTCACAGTGTCATTTAAGAACAGGTATAAATGTACCTCTCTGAGTATGGAAAAATGAACTTCATGAGTGGCCAATCCCAGCATGATCAGATCGGCATCCTGTCATGCAGCAGCAGATGACATTCAGCAATTGTAAGAGGGAATATGAAATGGAACATTTACATACTTCAACAGAACAAATCAACACAAAACATACCAACCCATACAGGCAATGGCGAGTATTTGGATCATTCCCAGGAAGGTTTCTTTGGAGACGGATGTACGACATGATTTTGTGCTCCCCTTCACCAGGAACATTTGCATCAGAAAGTATCACCTTCATTGAGACAGAGTAATTTGCATAAATTAATGAAATGTTGTGCACATGTAGACATAATACAGATGAATGGAAGCTTAAATACACAGTACAAGTATTCAGATGGTTTTGGAAAAAGCATAGCTTAGCGAGTCAACGGCAACTGTACCTTAACATTTTTCCATCCAGGGTCATTGTTTAGTCTGATGTGAATGTAATATTGGAGAGCAACGGATAGAACAGCCATGAATGGCGTTCCAGGTGTGATAACATTAGAGTCAAATAGTTGTGATTCCTTTTTGGGAGGAAGCTTCCTGCCTTCTTGCTCAAACTCCGCCCGCAACTTTTCCTCTTCGGCGGCCTGTAAAGCAATATTGCACTATGATTAGAAACAATATATTTCATACTAACTGGTTCACAGCGAACAATAGCAGGATTCAGTACCGCATCTGCAGCGTCTTTAGCAGCTCTAAAACGCCTTGACCGCTGTTGATTCATCTTAGCCCTTGGCGCCACGCCATCTACCAACCAAAAAGGTTTACATTCAATAAATTTGGCCCATATCAGATCGCATCAAACTTAATTGATATTCAAACATTTTAACCTTTTTTACCCACCAATAGCCATGTAAAGCAGCTTTCGTGGCCGCACCATCACAAATAGCCTGTCTATATAGTCAAAAATGCACTGAAACACCTCGTCGAAAGTAGCTGGAGAAGGCTGCATGAGAAATCAACTATATGATCACTTTCTAGAAAAAATAAGGACAATATGAAATAGAAGAATAAAGCCTAATAAATCAGAAATAAGTATCAAATGCCACCATGTTTTGAAACACCGGATTGTCATCACAAAGATGGACTGAGTGAAAAGCCAATACAGCCTCCAGATTTATTGTTTTGGAATTGTTACCAATCTTAACACGAAATACCAATATATCCAGCGAACCCATACCAATTTACAAAATATGTTTGGTGTTATTGTAAGTAGCTTGGTATAAATATTCAGGGAAAGTGCATTTACAAAACGGAGACGGAAAGTTTTTTGGGAGCAAGTTAAAAACTAGAATGAGTGATGTGTTATCTTTCGGTTGGGTATGCATTTGGTATATCATTTCTCATACTGATCGTGATTAAAAGATAAGAAATATATATATTATTACTTACGAAAATAAAATATAGAATGGCAAAATTACTAGCAAACGTAATGGCAATATGACTAGCATGCCTATAGCTAGTAGCCAGACAGTGATATTGGAAGAGAAAACTACTGTGTAGTCATAAATTTGTGTATAGGTTATATATTTTAATCGCTGTAACCTACTCAGACTGCAACTAACATTCCCTACCGAGAGGTTATACATAATTCAGTTTCGAACTAAAAAACTACAGGAGAAACTTAATTCGATTCAAGAAGCATCAACGACTTATTTCTCCAAGAAAGTACTATGAAAACTTAACTCCTTCAATTACTTCTCATAAGGTTTACGAACGAGCTCCTAATCCCGATATAACTCATTACAAGGAACATTGCCAACTAATATTTTACAAGGTAGTTACGAAATATCAAGAACTAACATCTAGTGCACCTTTCTAGTAGGTTAAATAAACAAATTGCATTTTCAGTACTAAAACGTGAGAAGTAAACATAAACAAGACCCGGCCAAGTAATAGCAGTTCACAATAAACATATATTCAAACAAAAAACAGATACACCAATCAACAAGCAGAAAACATCAAATGCTCGAATTAATTCATAATCGTCGGAGTACAATAGCAAGTTCTTCGAAAATGTATTTTTTTTTTTAAATAAAAAATAATACTTACGCGGTCTTCAGGGTGAAAGCAAGGGTGAATAATTCCATTCATATCGAGGTAGAGGTTATCGTATTCGATCTTGTTAGGGTTTGGCTTGCTGGTATCGACCGGAATTTTAACTCCTTCGATATCCACCGGCTCTTCCTCAACCACGTCCACCACCACCATCGGATACTTCTCCGCCAACCACCGGTAAAATGCCGGAACTCCCATTGTTGATCAAACAACACTAAAATCGAAAAAAAAAAAGAAAAAAAAAACAATAACAATAATTCCTCCCTAATAGAAATTGATTTTATCAGAAAGACACAAGAAATTTAACTGAGATGGGAAAAAAGGGGGAAAAAAGGGTTTTATGGAATCCAATGAGGGAGGGAGCTTGAGCAACAGAACCGATTTAACGGAAGAAAAAGTGTATGCGGAGTGAAGAGAATTAGGGCACGATAGTGAAATGATTAGACGAAAATGCCCTTTTGTTTTTTGGAAAGTGGGCGGATGGGTTTCGGTAGAAATTGGAGGAGATTTTCGTCATTTTATTCGTTAGTCGGTTTTCTTGTGTTGGATTTTGTTTACTGTGTCTGTGAGATACTTTTAAATATCCGAAAGATTCTATTTTCTCAACATTTCTTTACTACGCGACTATATCAATCGCAAAATTTACGTAGGGCAAAATCAAATTAAATTTTACTAGTAATTGTACCCGTGCGATGCACGGGACAACAAATTGCATTGTTTTGATGTTGTAAGAATATAAACATATGTTTGATGTATCGTATGATCAAAATTCTATTATACTGGAACATCATTAAGTATACTACACAAAAAAAAAAAAGGAAATAACTTTACTATTGAATAATTTTCCAAATGAATTGAATCAGCTAATACCAGTAGATTGAAAATTTGAACCAGGAAAAAAATCATCAACTATGTCTTTCATGTTGAGCTTAAAAGTAATTAGATTTAATAACTTAGTTAACATAATCAAAACTAAACTATCGACAACATAAAAGGCCATCTATACATCTTCCATCGGAACTAAGCCCTTCTCCACTGCCTCATTTTCAGGCTGTTTTGCCACTGGAATTAACAATTGGAAAATTAAGAAACAAAAATAAATATAAACAATAAATTAAATATCGCATACAAACAATAAGTCTTGAAGGTCGACTTCCAATAGCTTGTGGCTCCGCCCATTTTTAGTTAATTCTCTCAAATCATCCATTTCAATAACATGTCCAATAACATATAAAATGAAATAATTGTTATACATAAATTTTGAAAACTTTGGTATAAATTAATGAAACACATAATTTAACAAAATGAAATTACCGATAAGCCATGATGGAAAAAGATGTAAACTAATTGCCACACAGTCAATAGGATGAAGAAGATAAAAACAAAATCTAAAGTCGGGTTACCAAAAGAAGAAGCCTTAGGTAGGGAAGAAATAAAATTCAAATGTTGCAGACATTATGTAAAACGATGTCACAAAATTCGCTAGGGATGAAAATCAGATTTATTTACCCTTTTCTGTAAAAATCGAAAATCAGATTATTATAAATAATATCTAGGAGAATTTGATGAAAATCGATAATAATATTTAAAATAATATTTAGGAGATAAAAATTTGATAAAAAAATCAAAAAATAATATTTAAAAGATAAAAATCTGATAAAAATCGAAAATAAAATTTAAAATAATAGTTAGAAGATAAAAATTTGATAAAAATCGAAAATAATATTTCAAATAATGTTAATGAGATAAAAGTTGATAAAATACGAAAATAATAATTAGAATAATATTTAGGAGATAAAATATGATTAAATCAAAATTATTATTTAAAATAATATTTAGGAGATAAAAATTTGATAAAAATCAAAAATAATATTTAGGAGACAATAATCTGATAAAAAACAAAATTAATATTTAGGAGATAAAAAACTAATAAAAACATGATAAAACTCGAAAAAAATATTTTAAATATTATTTAGGAGATATAACTTTGATAAAATTCGAAAATAATATTTAGGAGATAAAAATCTGCTAAAAGTTGAAAATTATATTTAAAATTATAGTTAGGAGATATAAAATTGATAAAATTAAAAAAATATTTTTTATAATAATATTTAGGAGATAAAAATTTGATAAAAATAAAAAATAATATTTAGGAGACAAAAATCTGATAAAAATAAAAAATAATATTTAGGGGATACAAATATGATAAAATTCGAAAATAATATTTAAAATAATATTAAGGAGATAAAAATTTGATAAAAATTGAAAAAAAATTACAAATATGACATTAGGGTTTCTTAGGGTTGCCCTAGCGTTTCTTTCTTTTATATATAAGATACCAAATTATGTGTAAAAAAATTATAATGACCTTAGTAAAATATAAACAAAATAAAATTTAATTCTATCAATTACTCTTGCAGGACCACATTTAAAAAAAAATGAAAACACAATTGAAAAACGGGAGGGAAGAAAGAAGAGGACCACTTGAAGATTCGCCGTCGCGCGGTCGCCGATGAAGTCGACCACCGCCTTGTAAAATTTCTACATACTGGTGTCGAATTTTTCACTAAATTTCGACAGTAAATTGTTGTCGATTATTTGAACTTTTTTCGACATTTGTGTGTCGATATTTTGTTCAAAATTCGACAGCAATGTGCCGATTTTAGCAATTAAAACGAAATGTTAGCGTCGATTTTTTCAGAAACTGAAAAATTCGACTCTATAATGTCGTTTTTATAGCTAAATATTGACCTGTAAACGTCGAATTTTTGTGTACGAGAAATTATTTTCGAAAAACGAGAACGATCACAAAGCTTAAAAAAAAGTACAATATTTCTTATCGCATTATGTTCTTCGACCTTAGAATCATCCATATTGATGTTTTGTGTGCCCATAATGTCCTCGTTAGTTTTAGTAAAGATTTGAGGTTTTGTTTGATGATGGTTTTTGGAGAATATGAAAGAGTTTTTTTTGAGAAAATATGTAGAATGAGCGTGAAGAATAAGAGGTTGATTTTGTTGGTGAAGAAGAATGGTCATTTTTCATTTTTTTTTTTTGGTCTTGCAATATCAATTAGGCCTTTTTTGAATTAATAATATCAAAATTAATATTGAGGTTATATTTGTAATTTTCAATCTTGCTCGTAGTAAATTTATCTATATTTTGGTCTTGCATGAAGTAAGATTTTGCCCTTAGAAAATTTGAGATTGCAAATAGGTGCAGCCTACTATATATGTAACTTTAATTAGTGACGGAAATTTGAACGGAATTTCTGAATTGGATCGATTAGAATCCAAAGATATTTGACTTTCAAGTAATATTTAATATTACATAAAAAAATTTATTTCTGATTTTTTTCGTAATTTTTTTGGATTGAAATTGAAATATATATGAGATTTGATTTTTGATTCAATTGCCATTTTAGATAGAAAAAAATCCAAAGTTAATGCTTGTAGCATCAAGATTATTAATTTTTTATATTATATGCAAATGAAAATATAATTTTCGATTTGTGTTTGTTTTCATTGGGAAAAAATCAAATTTTAAATGTACTCAATTACTCTAAAAGTCCAAATACCAACAATTTCACACAAAGTCCACACGCAGCCCAATCTTAATTGCACCTCGCTCACTAACACTCCATGAAGCTTGTTATTAGGCTTGTGTGGGATAGATAAAGACGACGGATGTGATTACATTCGACCCAATATCAGAAACAAAAGTGAGAAGCCTGAACACGGTATGGACCACGGAGAAGAGGTCCACTTACAACATAACCATGAGTGGCCACACCAGTGAGCTCTCTCTATTGAACTGACTCGGATCGCATGGAGTAAGATAGTCGCCCTCATTAAACAAGCAAAACTCATAGTAGTCACACCGATCCCACATGTGATCTGACAGAAGATAAAACGGGGGGTGACCCCCCATTCCTACGACATGTATAAATAAAGTCTTGGAGCACAAGAGAATGACAGCTCTCTCTCACGACTATTCTTTATACACAATTTTAATTATATTTCTCTAAATACAGTTATAATGTTTCTCCACGAATCCGACTGACTTGGCCGTCGGAGTGCTAACGCATAAAAACCGTTTGTCGACATATCTTTTTGCAGGTCTCTCGAAGCGCGTGGGCTTCTTTTATTTCGGCTTTTCTCACTCCACGCTCAATCCACATCTTCAATTAGCAATTCAGCCATTTAAGCTATATCAAATTTCATTTTCATTCACCCCTAATCTTTAGTCATTACAATGAGAGGCACAAATCTGAAATGTTTTTGTTTCAAAAAAATGGAATAAAAAACTATACAATATACATGCTATCTGGTCCACCGAGATAGGCCCACTATATCATGGGCCGCATTATGAATATGGGATTAATTTAATTACATCCTATTGGGCCTAGGTTTTATAGCCCAGTTCCGGTAAAATTCAAGAAAGTGGTATTTTTTTTTTAATATTTATATACATATATATTTTTTTAAGAAATTCAAATAATTTTACAAATTGGGAAAGTAGGGGAGGCGGCAGGATTCAAACCAGAGACATCTCCTAATAAGCATTGGTAGAAAAACAAAGACAGACAAATTCAAGAAGGCGGTAAATGAATACGAAACGACAAAAAAAAAGAAAAACTCGTATATACGAAAATTTAATAAAAATAATAATAAAGAAGTGAAATTGAGAGGAGTGAACATGTTATCCCATAAACTAGTCATTTTCCAGGTTGGAGTGGACCATGTGAAGCAGAAGTATGCTCCCTTTTGAGGAAAATAGCCATTTAGCAATATACATATAAATATAAGGGTAAATTCCACTTTACCCCCTCGTACTCTGCCCGAGAGTCACTTTACCCCCTCGTACTCTCAATTTTATCGATTTACCCCCTTGTACTTGTACAATTTCCCAATACAGCCCTTTCCTTCAATTTTTGTCAATTTTGACTCTAACACCATTTGGTCAGCTCTGTAAATTACAAAATTGCCACTGCTTATAACGCGTCGTTTCTGCTCCGTCAATATTGTCATTTCTTCTTCTCCCACCACTTCCCCTTCCAAGATATCCCCAAATTGAACCCCTAACTTAGTAAAAATCAAGACCCAAAAATTGATCGATTCCACCGCCAGTACAAAGAAAAAAATATATGAATGTGTGAAATTTTCTCTTTTCTAATCTCGAGAGTCAAAATCGAAAAAATTCAATATTTACGTCAATACTCTGAC